TAAATACCAAACTACATAAAATACTTTAGATTGATAAAATTTTAGTAATGAATGTCAGTTAACATGCTAAAGCTTATCTGCCTTAGTTTACAGGAGGGATTAAACCGCTCTACAAGGTCACTGGACAGGTGGTTATCTCATCAACTCAGCTCTCAATTAACACAAGAAAAAGAGGATCATGGGGGACCAATGGTCACCGATTAGGCATTGTTTGTTATATAGAGGGCGCAAGTAGCTACCAGTAGTGCAGTGGGCCTTTAAAAGATGTTGTAAAAGTATTAAAAAATTATTACATTCCCGCTATTAATACAAAATATTGCACGATAACATAGTAAGAGGTCAAGGAGAAAGAGTGAGAGAGAGAGAGAGAGAGAGAGCGAGAGATAGAGAGAGAGAGAGATAAGGGGAGAAATACAAATAGGGATAGAGAAAGAGTACAGAATGGTAAACATATAAACATAGGAAAAAAAAGCAGTGATTTGATAGCAACACCATACAAATTTGAAACAGGTCAGAGACTCTGAGTTAACAAGGGATGAAGAAAATATAATAAATTTTGCTTGAAATAAGCATTTCTTTGAGTTTGAGTTTAAACACCTTTTCTTTTCAACTGCCCAAAAGTCAATGTACATAAGTGAGCACTTGTTTTTGGAATGAGATAACAAACACATAATGGCTTTTGATTCGCATTCATTGCTTCAGCCCAAACTTGGTACAACAGGATTTTGACAATACTTTCTGTACTGTCTGCTGCTGCTCAGTCATTCGTGGCAGCAATATTGTGAATATGGTATAATTAGACAAGGTATTAGTTATCCTTTAACCCTAATAAGGCCGGGCTATTTGAAGTCTACTATGGCCGGGGGGGGGGGGGGGGGGGGGGGGGGGGGGGCCATTATGGCCCCCCTAAGATCTCGGCCGATCTCCGCGAAAATTTGCACGCATGTCAAGTGAAGTGTATAGAACAATATGATAATTTCAATTTTTTGAAAAAAATCCCTCATTTGCATATTTATGGTAATTTATGCAAATAACGTCATAAAATCACATTTTTACCCATAAATCCTATATTATTCATATTTAAGCATTCTTTTTCACTACATATATTCATTAGACCATTTGGAACAATAATACGACAAAAAATTTTGGAAGAGCCAGCTTATTCCTTATGTTATCTCTTGTTTTAAAATTTTCTGTTGTATTTCATTGTTTTTTTAACTTATTTATGTTATTGTTTTTTTGTTTTTTTTTCATTTCTTCCTACAATTCAACTATTTTGACTCCCAAAAAAACCACCTAAACTTTAAACAAGACCCAATAACCAATGTTTGATCTATTTTTAGGAAAAATGACATTTCCATATGTTTTGTACACAAATCACAAAAATTTTCGGGCTGACATGCAAAGACAAAAGGTCACGTGACCTTGTAACTATAGGTCCGATTTTTTTAAATTTTTTTTTTAAAGATGCGCAAGACTCTAAAGAACAAAGTCAGCGAGCGGCGAGGCGCCATCCATATGCGTTCTCGAACAATCAGAAAAATCGTGGAGGGGGGGGGGCCATAATGGCCCCCCCCCCCCCCCCCGGCCTTATTAGGGTTAATATGAAATATGATTCAAGGTTACATAGGTTATAACTTTTTTAATTGGAAGCTACCAAAGTTGGATACACTTTTTTTTTATACGCACCGTATACCTGTAAACAGAATTTTCAGTTGAGTTGAGTTGAGGTTTTATTATCCAAACGTTCAAATACATTAATATAACAATAATAAATGCATATTTAACAACGATCTTGAATGGATAAACGCAGGACCAGAAAAAACAATAATAAATGCATATTTAACAACGATCTTGAATGGATAAACGCAGGACCAGAAAATAGCATAGATTGCTAATCATGTCTGGTGCCTTGTAAGTACAGTATCTTAATAAATAAAAATGTATCATTAGATATAGAAGTTGGAAAGGTTAAACTTTATTAGTAAGTGTTGTACAGTCTGTTTCACCCGAAGGCTCATCAGCAACTAAATACATTTTATACAAGGCAATGTTAAATACACCCATGTGCAGTCAGGCAAGAATACAAAAGAGACACAATAATACATATGAATAATTTTTTAATACAGGTATATAATTATTAAAGCTTCATACTATTCTACGAATCTAGGATAATAGATGTGTATTTAAATACGAAGCCAAAACTTGTAAAAATAGGCATTCCTGATAAAATAATATGATAATGTATCATACACTGTCTAAAATATAGAATATATTATCTAATAAAAAGGCAAGAACCTTGGTTCAAAGGTAAACATAGTTATTCTATTAACATTTAGAACAATTTTAATTGCTCTTGCCCATCATGCATCCAAATACCTTATTTTCGGTACATAACAGTTTTGTTATACATTTCTTGTAATGATGTACTCTTGAAATCGCATGAAATTTGTGATAAATCACTGTGATTACTGTTGGAAAATAAAGTACACTGCTCACACACACACAGACAATCAACGCCAGTATGAGCAGAATAGACCCAAAGCGACTTTGTCAATAAACTATCCCAGAGTGCATTTAAAATGGGGTCTGAACTTAACGTATAGGTATTTTTAACATGTTAACAATAGCGAGAATAGGAATGTCAATAAATTATGAACATAAAACACTATACAAATTTTTCAAGAATTTTGTCAAACTTCATATCAATGTTTTGAAGGATTTCCACTTGTAGTCTTGCTAAGTACAAGATTTCATTAGCAGTATCATTTCTCTGATCTGCTTGCAGAGGTGCTTTGACAGTTGAATATTGAGAGGGTGATTGTGATCTTGGAGGAGCTTGAAGGTGTGGGTTTACTGGAGGAGCGGGTTGTAGCTGATGTTTGGAAGCTGTTTTACGAGCAGGTTGAATATCATTAGATCTCTTGAGTGGAATCGCAGCTGTATTTTCATCTTCCTTTTCATGAACATGAATACAAGCTCCCTCAGGAACTTGACTTGTAGATGCCTGGCAGAAGGAACTATCACCCAATGTCGCTCCAACTGCCGTCTCTGTCAGGGCTCTTGTTGCTGCTGATTCACACTGTCAATAAGAATAATTCAATAGAAAAAGTAGCAGTTTAAAGGGAACCAAAATCTTCATACTAAGTTACTTTTATTGTAAAGTTTAAGATATTTGAATGAAATCAGTGAAAATTTGAACAAAATCGGGCAAGGAATAAGGAAGTTAAAACTTTTTTTAAATGACTAGTTACTAGAGGGCGATATTCAATTTGATGACATCATTTGTGGATAACTCTCCATGCCTTTTGTACATCAAATTTCATGTTTTTCCTTCTTTCTTGTGATCGAGATAATCTACTCCCCTGAAAGCAAGGTATAGAATGCAAAATGATATTATACTTCACATGTTATGAAGTCGGATCAAGAACACAAATAAAACGAAAGAATTGTGAAATTTGATGTACAATTAAATTTAAACAAAACTGGACATTCTACTGTACTGCATCATAAGAGAGTGCTTGTTAATCCATTAGCACAAACATACCATATGTCAGACTACACGCTAAGCTCTGCATGTGTCGTAACACTGTATTATCTCTTGATTATTACAACTTGTTTGACAGTTTTTTAAGAGACAAAATTTAAAGTGAACCTATTGAAGTTAGTAGTGTTATATAATTAAAATGAACATTTCAATTCACAATTTTTCAATGTCAAGTACCGGTAGATGAATTGTTTGAACTCCTAAACATATTAGTAATCTGGCATTCAATGATAAGCACAATCAACATTCATAGAGAATGTTAGTGCAAGGGTTGCATTAGTGTGTTGAGATCTGAAAAACTAGAAATTCTCACATTACATTGGTATATGTATGAATAGAGGGTGTTTGTGAGCATCTGTGGTTCATTGACTTTCAGAGAAGAGAAGATTGTAAATGACCATAAGTTTTTTGTAACCTCTCTATGTCAAGGCATCTTATGTTGTATTGCAAAAGTGATAAGACTTCATATTATTCTATAGCCGGGCTTAAATTAATCCAAGGTCACCAAGGCCATGGCCTTGAAGATTTTTTGTGCCCTTTCCAATTCTTTCTATTTGTGCTGTAATATAGGAATGTGCCCTACAGAAAAGTGGCCTTGCCCTAAAAATATTGAAATTTAAAGCCTGCTATATTTAGTGTAGATTGTGTAAGGTTTGACATTTTCAATCTCTTTGTTTTGAGGGAAGTTCTAAATTAGTTTTATCTTTCAAATGTTGTCGGAATCTAACCTTTTCATTGTTTTGGTCTGCAAATAGGACATAATGGGTACCCGGTAGGATGCGGCCGTCATTGTTGGTTAAACAGTTTTTGAGCGTCAAATAACGCCTGGCTGGAATGCTCCCCAGGGAGTGGAGATTGTGCTCACAGTGTGTGCGGGCAAGCACTGAATCCAATGACCGGGGTATATTTGTAAAGCACTTAGACACATTTGTATTAAGCGCTATATAAAAATTAAATATTATTATTTTATTATTAATACCTTTAGTGCCACATCCCCACCCCACTGGACAGGGAAATCAGAGGCCTGAAACTAAAACCGATTACATTCCGGCAGGGTGGTCCACAAGAAATTTTCAACTTGGAAGGAGTATGATACTATGAACATGACGGACAAAGAAATAGGACAAAATATACAGTTCCTCATTCTACCCTCAACAATTGCCGTGGTAGACGAAGGAACATCCCTTCACTGCTATTATGTAAAAATGTGTAGAACAGGTGTCACATGCATATTCACCTGTTCTACACATTTTTTTGCCCCTTATGGGCACTGGAAGCTCAGGGGGTTGTTCTTAGATGCTCTCTGATGCAATATTTATGGGCCATATTTTGATTTGAAGCATCTGTAAATAAAGTTTATGACTGACAATATATAACTAATTTTGAATTAGAATTAATTCGCTGTAATTTCTTTACATCTTGTGGACAAAACCAATTCAAGGATTGTAATTTCTGTCCAATTGTAACTTTAGTCAATGAACTGAGAACGCACCTGCTCTTGTAACTCCGACAACCTTTTTTCCCTCTCTTCTTCGCTGTCTTCTGATTCTGAGCTACTATTGGAAGCTGAAGCATCTGACGGGTCCAATGGTTCATCGGATATTTTGGCAAACTTGACTTCAAACACATTCTGACAAAGGAGAATAACAGAACAAAAACCATAACATATCACATAGTTTGAACTACGGTAAACTCAGAAATTGGTTCAAACATGTACCGGTAGTAAAGTGTCATGCTACGAAATTATAGTCGAACTATAATTCACAGACTATAATTCACAGATTTCAATGTAAAATCAAATGGATATTTCTTGAAAAGCTAATTGATTTGAGTGATGGACCCTATATCTTTAACTTCCTTTTTAACGTCATGATGAATATGATGTCCTGGACAGTCCACATAAGACAACTGCAAACCAAAGGGGTCTACATCATGGGTAACAAGAGAGAATTTAAGTAATAACAATGACCACTTACTTCCAACTTTCTAGCCATTTTTACAACATCATTGTCCCGAGGATTGTACTTGTAACAATTTCTGAATATCAGCCTGACATCTGCAGCAAAATCATTGGCGTTCTTGTAATCCCTGTTTTCAAGCTTTACCTTTGGGGAAAAGACAATAGGAAAATGAAATGACTTAATCACTATTCTTAAAAGGGAACTCGGTACCCTTCCTTTCTAGCCTTCTTGCACTAAACTTTGCATCTACAAAGACATCTACATTATCTATGAATTCATGACACATCCTGGGGATTGCAAGAAGATCCTATGGACCCATGCTTTTTGTCTTCCTCACAAATAATCTATTGAGTGCCTTATTTGACAAGTCCAATCTATCAGTACAATAAACTATCAAAACAGATATTGACAGTAAACGCCCTTTTTCTGGTCTCTGCCTCTTGCCCATAAGTTGGCCCCTAAAATTGTCAAAAATATAAACAGGGGCCTGGTATACAAAGATCCCTCAGGGAGATAACCAACATTTTGATTGCTTTCAAGGCAATCACTTTACAACATTACTAAAATTTTAGTTATGGTTCAATAAAGTTATCAGTCTAGTGAATAACACTTTTATTCCAAAACACTAGCATGGGTAAGAACGTCATGTAAAGCTGTACTTCAATATTTTAATCAAGTAACCTCCTAGAATCAACATGCAAACCCAAAGTGTTTTTCAAGATTACAACATGGTTCTCACCTTTATTGTACCCATGTCCATTGGAGTCTTGATGATCTCATGATAGTCGTGCAGTCCAAATACGTCTGCATCAACTGGCTTGAAGAAAGGCCATGCATATACCTGGGGGGGGGGGGATATCGTGAGTAGAAACTAAGCAAAATGCATGGATGGAGGTATCTTGAACCATTTTTTGTTATATTTCAGTCAGTACAATTCAAGCAGGCATGAGTCAAATATACACACAGTATTATGTTCAACAGAAAAGAAAATAGAAAAGAAAATCTGAATAACAAATTTTACATAAACCTGCAAAGATTCCTAAGCACTAAAGAGGAAAGAGGAATAAATTGAGAGGAAAAATAGTTGTAGAACAATACCTCCAAAATAGTCTGATCACAAAATGAATCATTACAAAGCAGAATGAAGGGGTTCGATCCTTACCGAGTGCTTTTTTGACATGAGCTCTTTGATGACACCATAACAGAACTTGAGCTGAGCTGTGAGTTTGCACTTCTTTCCCTTCTGGTGCTGATCTGATTCAGGGAGTTCCCTGTTGGGAGGTTTGATGTTTCTCCTACTGCTCTCTCTCCTGCCTGGGATCTTAGCTGGCTTGGCCTGGGCTAAGTGGTAGTCTGCACTGGGAGCCACTATGGATTCAGGAGGTTCTATTTCTGTTGTGGGTATGGTTGCATCTGCTTTTCTCTTTAACCCATTGGTCCCTTTGTCTGTATACAAAAATATCAAAAAACTAGATGGATCTTCGAATATGATGCCCGGGGCCCAGCCCCCCACTCCGAGAGCGGACGGACCCCATGCGTGTTGCCAAAATGTCTTTTTCGTAACAAAAGAAAAAGGTCGACCCGTATTGACTTTACACACCGGACTTTTGCTGAAAAGGGGGGGGGGTGCTGAAAAAGGCTCGTATACAAAAGAAAAAGGTCGAGCCGTATTGACTTTACACACCGGACTTTTGCTGAAAAGGGGGGGTCGGTTGGAACACGCATATGCATATCCTAAATAACACTGAGTGGGGGGGCCGGGGCCCGGGGGCTCTTTTATAACTTTCGGACTGTTTATGACATGGAGTAGCAATTTCTATAACCTCAACTGATTTAAGCGTGCTGTCATCGTCTAAATCGAAGTTCAAGCTCAGCCTCTTGCCCGTCAAGGTATAAAGAACAATCAGAGACAATAAATGAACAAGCAGACATAACCGCTTACTTGAGTTTGCACTTATCCCCCTTCCTAGTACTCTGCCTTTTCTTCCTTTCCTGCCTGGCCCTGATATGTCGTCTCCCATCCCTGGCTTCACTGGGGGAGCCAGCTCAATTTCCTCCTGTGGCATTTGTGCAACCTTTGTCAGGAAGAGCTTCTCCAGGGCTTGTGCCATAAGAACAACATCCTAGAAGATGAGAAGGCAATGGCACTTTGTTAGATAATAAGCTCCCTGTTATGTTTATTACCGTAAATCTCCATGTATAAGGCGCACCTGTGTATAAGGCGCACCCCTATTTTGGGGCAAAAAAAATAAATTGTTTTTGTTTTTTTGTTGTTGTTTTTTGTTGCCGAAAACCCACGTGGGGAAGGACCTTCATTCTACATCGAGGTGCAGTTAAAGGCGCTGATTTGTGCTTGTGAACTTGTCACAAATAATAGTAACAATGTATTTTTTAGAAGAATGTGTAAGATCATTACCATTAAAAACAATAGAGTACCTAGGATAGAACGTTGTGGTACACCATTTGTTATAGAAAAACAATTTGAGGAATTATTATTATAAAAATTGAGATCTATTACAAAGATTACTTTCAAACCAAGGTGACAGACAAATTTGAGTGCTGTTGTTGTAGTTTCCGAGTGGTGAGTCAACAGACTGATTACTGAGCTGGGAGACATTGCCAGGCATAGCGCCATAAATCGAAACTAAAAAAAAAAAAAAATTCTGTACCTGTGTATAAGACGCACCCCCGACTTTCAATTTTTTTCGGCGGCAAAAAAGTGTGCCTTATACATGGAGGTTTACGGTACACTGGAATATTGATGGCTCATGTCATTTTCATGATAAACTAGAATAGGCAAGTTCTCTGTTCCTTCCTTTTCTTGTCTGTCTTTATGCCTGTCTTTAAAATTACATATGAAATTGTGAGATCTTTTTCAAAGATTGCATTCAAATTAGAATTATTTTCCTTTGTCTACCGTAAGTAACATGCAGAATGGCAAAAGCAGGGTGATACCAAATCTTGCCTTTATAACCACTACTCAAAATCTAGACTTTGATCATATAATTCATACTAAAATGAAAACAGTTAAACTCTGCATAAACTGAATCTGTAGGGACTTCCATTAAAGTGTAAATAACACGTTTTGCATACCGGTAGTTTGGTCCAAAAAATCTTGAGAACATTTTTGAGATTTTGAGTTATGCAGAGTTAACTGTAGTTATAGACAGAAAAAGTTAAATGAGATATATTATAAAGTACTACATACCTCTCCAGGTTTATCATGTAAATAGCAATTTGTAAACACGAGTTTGAAATCTGAGATGCATTCTTTTGCACTGTGATAGTAGATACTCTCCAATCGCTTCTTGATTGTACCAAGGTCCATTGGAGTCTTGATGATTTTGTAGTAATCCTGTCAATGAAAACACAATAAATTGAAACATAAGATGTTATCAGCATTAACCCTAAAAAGGCCTGATGTTTAATGAAATTGTACTTTCTTAAGGAAAAAGGAAAACTCAAAGTATAGAAGAATATCTGCTACGTATACTATACTCTTAACATTGAAGAAAACATGCTTGTACTTAATGTAGTTTGTTGATAGTTTGCATTGCATTACAAAACTAGATGGAATTTTGACTGCGCGCAGTCAAAAATGATGCCTCCGCCATAGAGCAATTTAAACAAGTTTGGAGTTTAAATCTCCAGTGGTTCTTGAGATATCATGATAACAATCTCAATGTATGGAATTTCATAAGTTGACCTCTGTGACCCTTGACCTTTGACCTACGTGCTCCAAAATCTAATCAGATTGTCTTCCTATGGTGATACACACTATCATTAAGTTTGAAGTTTAAATCTCCAGTGGTTCTTGAGATATTATGATATGGTGATACATACTATCATTAAGTTTGAAGTGAAAATTCTCCAGTGGTTCTTGAGATATCGCGATAACGATCTCAATGTATGGAATTTCATAAGTTGACCTCTGTGACCCTTGACCTTTAACCTACGTGCTCCAAAATCTAATCAGATTGTCTTCCTATGGTGATACACACTATCATTAAGTTTGAAGTTTAAATCTCCAGTGGTTCTTGAGATATTATGATAACAATCTCAATGTATGGAATTTCATAAGTTGACCTCTGTGACCCTTGACCTTTGACCTACGTGCTCCAAAATCTAATCAGATCGTCTTCCTATGGTGATACATACTATCCTTAAGTTTGAAGTTTTTACATCTCCAGTGGTTCTTGAGATATCATGATAACAATCTCAATGTATGGAATTTCATAAGTTGACCTCTATGACCCTTGACCTTTGACCTACGTGCTCCAAAATGTAATCAGATTGTTTTCCTATAGTGATACACACTATCACTAAGTTTGAAGTTTAAATCTCCAGTGGTAATTGAGATATCATGATAACAATCTCAATGTATGGAATTTCATAAGTTGACCTCTGTGACCCTTGACCTTTGACATACGTGCTCCAAAATCTAATCAGATCGTCTTCCTATGGTGATAAATACTATTCCCGAGTCTTAAGTTTAAATTTTAAATGGTTCTTGAGATATTGTGATAACGGTCAAACGGGACGGACGTACGGATGGACATACAGACGTACGGACGTACGGACGGACAACCCGAAAACATGATGCCTCCGGCACCACCTTCGGTGGCGGAGGCATAACAAAATTAAACACCTGGGTACCCACGCACTATATAAGTCCAGACCAATTTTAAACTTCTTACATCGCACTCATGTATACTGAATAAAAAGTTTTCGTCATTCTCTCCAAAAATGTTACTCTGAACCCTGAGGAAAGAGAAAAAATCTCAGATCATGATACTCACTGGTAAAGCAAGCTTGGTTGGGTCGACAGGATGATGAAATGGCCAGGCAAATTGATGTTTCCATAGTGCCTTTAGCACCACTTTTTGAAGATATTGCAATTGGTTTGTCTGCCTCCCAGGCTGCCTACTTTGAGTTTGACCAGTAGGTGAGGCCATGTCGTTCTGAAAAATGAAATGAGAATGGAATGTCAAACATTTCCAACTAAAAGAGAAGCTTTAATATCTGGGGATCTGAAAAATAATTTGAAAGAAAGAAAGAGACAGAAAAATTCGGGCAGATCCAGCCGGCAGCAGGGGAGGGGGCACACTTTGTGAGAAAATATTTTAGCGGCGAAACAGCTAGCCGGTAGTGAGCAATTTTTTTTCTCGCTCCCGAAAATTTGAAAAATCGCAACCCCCCCCCACCCCTTGAGCGCCAGGGAAGGGCAGGGCCCACCTCCAAGAAAAAAATTAAATTAACGTGTTTTTTCCCCCAGGGCTGGGAGCCTGGGCACCTCCCTGGATCCGCCACTGGTACTAGATGACACAACGTACAACCGGCAACCTGCAACCCGGCACAGGCCCACGCCCAGCGCCTACCACATTCTAAATCTAAGGCCTGTGCATGTGTAGAGTCTACAGTGTAGTGAGTATATACCGCCGGGATCGCCTGGCCTGGGCGCCGGCGGAGCGGTGAGCTCAGAGCGCGGAGGATCGAGGAGTAGCTCCAAAAGACCAAAGACCACACAGCGCCAGCGCCATCGGCGTTAAACAATCATTTTCACAACAAAAAACAAGACAGTAGAGATTCCTTAATCTCGACAGAATTTGGGAGTAAATAAAAGGGTATTCTTACATTTTCTTCAAAGAATCGCGGCCGCAGGTGCCTACGAGAGGCCCTAGTCTACTGGCAGTACCCGAGTATGGTACTGCTAGCGCTATACGACCACTCAATGTTAACGATCGATCGCGCAGATATAGATGCAGACGATCTTTTTGCAAACGTTTTGCTCCCCCCCCCCCAAAAAAAGAGCGCGTTCGCGAACTACCAATTAATCATCTTGTTGGTTCTAACCAGGCGCGTACACAGGGGGGGGGGGGGGGGGGGGGGGGGGGGGGGTGAAGAAGAAGAAAACAAAGTTTTTGTTGCTGTTGGAGCTAAAGGGTGAACAAAAAAATGAGCTCTTACCCCCCCCCCCCCCTCTTATTCAGCGGATGGATGAGTCGTTGCGAAATTTTGGGCGCGATTTTCTAATTTTAAAACCCCCCTCGAATAAATCCTGCGTACGCCCTTGGTTCTAGCTTATAGGTACCTTTAGGGGGTTAATTGTCTGGGGGTAGTTGTCCGGGGGTAGTTGTCCTAGGGGGGGGGGGGGTGGTTGCCAGGCCCTGGGAACTTCACCGGGATATATTATGTACTTATACAGTGCGACCCAGAAAAAACGAAACCGAGAATTATCGATGTGTTGTCATTATGATCGATAATTCTCGGTTATGATATAATAAATAAATGTAAAGCTTAGATCCTTCTCTTTTATTTGATGCAATTCATATGATGCATATTTCACGCATGAGTGATTAAAAATAATTTGAAGAGAGAAAACCCAAAAGTCATTTGGCGGGCGGTATCATAATTTCAAAGAGAAGATAAAATGTGTAGAAAGTTCAATTTTTGCCCTTTCATAGGCAGGCACATAGCCACGGGGGGGGGGGGGGCACGGGGGCACGGGGGGCAAACTCTGGCTACGTGCCTGTTCAAAGGCACCCCATCAGGAAAAAATGAGCCAGGAATAACAAAGTTTTGTTTGTTTAAAGTAATGCTTGCATTTCCATAATTTGATTAAACGAGATCTTTTTCACTGGCTGCGCCTGCCGCAGTGGCGGATCCAGTGGGGGGGGGGGGGGGGGGGGGGGTCCGGAGGGGCAAAAAAAAGAAGGGAAAAAAAAAACATTAAACGAAATATCTGACGACCTAATTTTCCAATTTCCGAGGCCAAAAAAAAAAAGTGATTAAATACCTTAGAACCTCTGTGCTTCCCGGGGCTCTGCCCCCTAGATTTCACCTAGGGCCAAAAGTCTGGCCGGCTTCCCCCTTGGCAAAAAAAAAGAAGGAAAAAAAAAGCGATTGAACGAAATATCTGACGACCTAATTTTCCAATTTCCGAGGCCCCCCAAAAAAGTGATTAAATGCCTTAGAAAACCTAAGCTTCCCGGGGCTCTGCCCCCTAGATTTCACCTAGGGCCAAAATTCAGGCACCTGGATGCTCATCTGACGTTAATTTAATGCCTTAAACCTTTTGGCTCCTGGGGGCTCCGCCCCCAGGACCCTATAATATGTTCATCTAACCGTTATAAATGCCTAAAACCCATTGGTTTCCGTGGGTCCGCCCCTCGACCCCACCAGGAGCCCTGAAGCGGGCCCCTGCATGCTTGTCTGACCGTTATAAAATGCCTAAAACCCTGAGCTTCTGGGGGCCCCTGACCTGCCAGTGTCACAAATAAGGTAATAATAATGCTCATCTGACGTAATTAAATGCCTAAAGCCCTGAGCTTCCGGAGCCCTGCCCCCTGCCCCCAACCATTCCCCTGATCGGTCCCCTGGATGCTCATATGACCGTAGTCTATTGAGTACCCCCCCCCCTCCCACCCCCCCCCCACCCTGAGCCTCCGGGGGCTCCGCCCTCTGGACCCTACGTCAATTCCTGACCTGCCAGCGTCACAAATAAGGTATAAAAATATGCTCATCTGACCATAAATTATTGCCCCAAACCCCTGAACTTCCGGGGGCTTCGCTCCCTGGACCCCACGTCAAATTGTGACCTGCTAGTGTCACAAATAAGGTATCAACTTATGCTCATCTGACGGTAATTAAATGCCTCTACTCCCTGAGCTTCCGGGGGCTTCGCTCCCTGGACCCCACGTCAAATTGTGACCTGCTAGTGTCACAAATAAGGTATCAACTTATGCTCATCTGACGGTAATTAAATGCCTCTACCCCTGCTTCTAGAGGCTCCACCCCGTGACCCCCGCCGAGAAACGTTCAGCATGTAAGAGTGGGGTAATGGGGATTTTGTTGTCCACCCCCCCCCCTCCAAACGTTTTTGCCACTGCCGGTGTCACCATTGCGTACCAATATTTGGCTAGCATAATTTCAAATTTGGGCCCCCCCCCCTAAGAAATCCTGAATCCGCGCCTGCATGGCCTGCCGTAGCAACAAATAGAGTTGACAAAAGACTTAAATCCGTTTCGTTGACGGTCAGCCATGCATCAAGTCTTTCGTCTTCTTTGTGCATGGCTGAACGTCAACAAAACGGAGTTAAGTCTTTTGTCAACTCTCTTTGTTGCTACAGCAGGCAGCCATTGAAAACGATTTCGTTTAATCAAATTATGGAAATGCAAGCATTACTCTAAACAAACAGAACTTTGTTATTCCTGGCTCATTTTTCCTGATAGGGGCAGATCCAGCCAGCGGCAGGGGATGGGGCCAAAGAGGGGGCCCAATTCGTGAGAAAATATTGAGCGGTGAAACAGCCAGACGGTGAATAAGCGGGGGGGGGGGGGGGGGGGGGATCCCGGCCGCATTATTTTTTTCTTCGGCACAGATTGGGGTTAGGTGCATGTTGAGCCTCTGGGAAAGTTTAGGGTTAGGGTTTTCATTTCCATTTCCAACAAAATAAATAAAGTGCATGGGATTGCATTGTACATAGTAAAACAATGAAACTTAACAATATATTTGTAATTGGTCCAGTGTACAATAGGCATATAAAACAGGTTGGTCATGGAGGGGACTGCTGAAAAGCTAGGCTTGTAGATTGCAGCCCCCTATAACTTATAGTTGCAAAAATAGTATATCAATAATAAAGGAATGCACAAATACATATACCAATTAAACATAACATAGAAGGAGTGAAATGGACAGGGAAAGAAGGGAGACAACGAGAGAGGGCAGGGCTCTTACCTATAACATAGAGTACATATAGGTACTCTACTATAACACACACAACACAACACGGGCCGACTGTAATACGGATAGCCAGTACAAAATGAATCAAAATATCCAAATGTATTTTATTGAGTCATTGGGTTAGGGTTAGGGTCATAGGCGCCGGAAGTGGGGGCAGGGAGGGGGGCAGTTGCCCCCCAGTCAAAAAAGTGGGGGGGGGGGGGGGGGGCAAAAAGGCATTTTTGTCCCCCAAAACGCCCCCCCCCCTCCAAAAAAAAAAAAACAGTAAAGGAGTAAACATGGTTTGTATTTTTAATCCAAAAGAACGTAACAATAATAAAAACCTGAATTAAATCACATATACAATTCCATTCAAAGTAAAAGGAAAGTTCACAGGAATTAAATTTCATAAACATTGCGCATGACACCTATACGGTATTTATCAATGGAGGTCTCTATAATAGCGATACGCGCATATCGTGGACATATTGTGCGAGAATGGGAAAGCGTGTCCGTTTTTTTTGTTATAGGGGTGAGAAGACATGAGCCCCTGAACGCTGGCGTACTGATAGGGGAGGGGGGGGGTGGTGTATTTCTTATTCGAAACAAGTGATTTACACATTTTGATGATGTGACATGATTTTCCGGCATTTTTATCTCCATTTTTTTGTAAGTCATAACTTTTATACGTTTGTTGGAAAATAAGAAATTCCCAAATTACAGTCAGGCGAAAATACGCTTATTTAGAAGCCTTTATGTCATGGTCTGCAAAGTGGCTGTATGTTAAAGAGAAAAAGAAAGAAAGACGGAGAAAAAAAATAAGTGACCTGCCAATGTCACAAATTAGGTATAAAAAAATGCTCATCTGACCGTAATTAAATGCTTAAAACCCCAGGGCTTACGGGGGCTCCGCCCCGGACCCCACCAAGGGACCTAAAGCGGCCCCCTGGATGCTCATCTGACCGTAAATAAATACCTCGAACCCCCGAGGTTCCAGGGGCTCTGCCCCCTGGAACCCACCAAGGGCTCTAAGGCGGGCCCCTGGATGCTCACGTGACTGTAATTAAATACCTAAAACCCCTGAGCTTCCGGGGGCTCTGCCCCTGGATGCTCATCTGACCGTAATTAAATACCTTACACCCCTGAGCTTCCGGTAGCTCTGCCCCCTGGAACCCCATCAAGGGCCCTAAGGAGGGCCCCTGGATGCACATCTGACCGTTATTAAATACCTCAAACCCCTGAGCTTCTGGGGCTCTGCCACCTGGA